CGACGTCACCAATGAAGTCACATCGACTCTCACACACCTGCGCATCAAACCACACCCAGCTCTCGACGGGCGAACCGGAGGTGCTGAAGATGAAGCGACGCTCAACTGTTTGAGAACCTTCGAGACTTGCCAACGCACATCCACCATAGCGGCGCATTGCTTAGACCAAGTATTGCTTTATCTGTCGCCTTGCGCCGCCTTGTGTAGTGCGTTCTTTTTTCATGAACAAGGGAGGGATAGGGCAGCGGTGTCGTATTGAGTGCCTTCTCAACGAAGAGGTCTTCATGGACGTCTCTAGGACGCAAGCTAGCCTCTCAAGATGCTACGCTGCGAGGCGGTCCAGCCACCGATGCTCAAGATGCGGCCACAGGGACGGTACGGCTCCATCCATCAGCCCTCGCCCATGGACAGCTTGCCGGTGATGCTGCGCGCAAGCGCTCGGGGATGCAGTGCCGCGGCGATCTGGCGGCGCAAGTGCAATAAAATGCGCGACCCGACAAAAATTTTCCGCACCCTGCAGGAGCATGCAGGTCGGAACCGGTGACTGGACGGAGCCGACAGCGCAGCCTCGCGGGCGCACGTCAGCAGGCGACAAGACTTGCTCTTTGGTATGCTCCATTCATTGCTTTGCTCGGCTGAGTGCGCGCCTTCACCGAGCATTCACAATTGCGCGCTAGGTCTCACGGACACCTGGCCCATGACGAAAACCTACCGGTCATCCTGGGTTGGCGAGACAAGCGATGATCAGTGATGCGTGAAGGTGCATCTTGCAGGCGTGGGTCATGACGGCATCTGGTTGGCTAGAGGGAGCGGCCAGCGCTCCTTGTTCGCCTGTGGCGAAATGGATGGGCTCGCAATCAGGAATGAACTTTGCTCAGCCTGTCACGGATAGGCAGAGTCCAATCAAGGCTGTGATTGAACCAAATGGACCTCGCTCGTCGGTCGGGCGTCTGCGCAATAGTCTATCCCGCTTATGCCATGCAGAGCAAAGTTGAGGAACATGCAATGTGCGGCAGACAAGGCCATATTTCAGGAATCCGTCGTGCATGTGCAAGGGGGAGAAGTAAGCCCCAAGATTACGTGCCCGATGACCTCATAGTCCGTGCCCACCCTCTCTCTGCGCCTTTCCTTCCCCGCCTGAGCTTCGATTCGCCGATGCAGCTAAACGCGTTCACCTCCGGCGCTCTGAACGAAGTTTGCGCATGCCGCTCAAGTATACCGGTCATCGAAGTTATATCCCACCTTGCAGCACTTCGCCAAAGGTGCACCTCCTCGCCGGTCGTCAGCGACCAATCTGTGGATGACGCACACGCAAGGGTTAGAGTTCGGTAGCACTCGAGTCTGTGATCGTCAATCCTCCGCGGCAACAGCGAGGGTCGATTTGCGTGGGCAATATCGAGGTCGACAGCTCACGCAATCATGCGCGCCGACTCGAAGTGCTTGCTCGAGCAACTTTCGCTCACGCACGATCGACTCGCAATAGTCCGGCGGGTGGGTCAGGAAGCGCCATCCACACTGCTCGGGCGCGGCGCCGCGAGTCTTGTACTCGTCTACTTTGACTCGCATCTCTCCGAGCAGTGGGCGCACGTCTTTGAGCACACGTGACGAAGCGAAATCAACAGAATTACGCGCAGCGGCTACGGTACGGTCACGAGCTCGTATCAAGTTCAGTTCTGAAGTAGACGGATGACATGTGCATTGCAAGCAACGGCAGAAGGTGTGTATGGTCGAGCAAGTCCTGAAAGATGCAAGTATTTCGTCGAAAGGGCCATTACGCGCACTCGACCTAGCTATTATGACCGTGGAAGATCGGCTGGGAGGCGCAGTGTATCGTCAAGGTGGCCAGCCACGGTGCCAGAGAGAAGTGGTGAACGCGATCCCACGCCGTTCAGACGCCACGGTACTGGCGAGTGAGACCGCTGGCACGAGTGACTTGGCCGCCGGTAAAGTTGTTCATGCAGCCATCGTCAGAGTAGTCCATGTAGTTGGTGATTGGGTCGACGCCACCGCCGGAGCAAGTGTCGCGGCCAGTGGGGCATCCTGAAGCGGGGGAGGCTTCGGGCGCAGTGTCGCTGACAGAGTCGCCAGCTCCGGAGCATCCTCCTTGGAAAGTGTGGTAGAGACCGACCCAGTGGCCAACCTCGTGGGTGAGGGTTCGTCCTTGGTTGTAGGGAGCCAAGCTGCCTCCGGGAACAGAGCGGTACTCGAACACGACACCGTCAAACTTGGGCTTGCTGGAGTAGTCGCTGGGGAAGGTGGCATAGCCGAGGAGTCCCTGAGCTGACAAGTCAACAGAGTACAGGTTCAGAGTGCTAGCGCCTCCAGTCCTGAGCGCGTTCTTCATCGCGGACTCGGCGCTGGTGCCAGGGAAGGCGTTTTTGAACCAGTTGCTGTTGACGGTGGTCTTGGTGGAGGAGAGGGAGAATCGGTAAGGCATGCCAGAGTTTGCGTAGTCATTGTTGAGCACGTTGATCTGACCGTTGATGGCAGAGCTGGATAGAGCGCCGTTGCTGCCGTCGGTGATGATGTTCCAGACGACTGGAATAGATGACGCGGCGGCGGCATTGAGCCTGTAGTCTGTCGCGTTTCCAGACGCGCGAGCGGCCTCGAGGGCGAGCCTGTGAGCCTCGACCACCTTGGCGGCCTCAGCCTCCAGCGCGGGAGAGAGCGGGCTGGTGGTACCACACTTGCGGGTAGGTGCGCGCATCTCAAAGGACGCAGCGGAAACGCCGCTCGTGGAGAGAGCAGCTACCGCCGCAGCGGTAGCAGCGAAAAAGGTGGGCAGGTTGAAGCGGACCATGGCGAAATGAAGAAGTGCGAGTGGACGAAATGTCTCGATGTATAGGGCAAGGTGCGAAGTGAAGAAAGAGGATGATAGCGGGATGAGGGGGAGCTGAATGGGTGCGACATCTCATTCACTCATCGCTCCCCTTTTAACCTTTTCGGAAGCTTTGGTGTCGCACGACACTCGAGTGACGGCGAAGTGCAACAACGCAAGGCCCCATCAGGTCCGCAACGCCAGCAACCACGTCTATGCTCTGTGCACTCTCCTAGCTTACTCTGTCCCCTTCTGGCAAGAATGAAGCGTGGTCGTGCGCGATAAGGAAGGTCGACGAGAAGAAGTGTTGGGCAGTGTCAGGCCCGGAAACCAAGCCGCCTGCGCTTAGTGCTGACTAGCGTGATGTGCGACTCTTTAGCGTAAGCGGGGTCTGAGGTACTTGCATACCGTCCCGGGTGTGCACAAAGAAGGGTGCACAGCGAGCATCCGGCTCGAGCGAGGGCCGGGCAGCGGTCCGCTTTCACCGTCATTTCAGTCACCAGAATATCAAATTGGGCAAGGTGTCGCGCTGGAAAGCTGATGAGCTAGAGATGGGGACGCCGCACCAGCAGGCGCTGCATGGAGAGTGGGATGTGCTGGGACGTCCTGTCCTGTACCTTCCCATACAGGCGATCGAGCAACACCACCTGCCTGAAGCAACACTTTGAGCGACTGTCGATCTCGGCGACTTTTTGCCAAGGTGATCTGGATCGCCAAGATGGCTGCGAACATGTCCAACAAGGCAAGCGGAAGATCACCAAGCGCGAAGCTGGAGCGATACTTGTTCCCAAACAGGCAGGACCCTGAGCAGGCAGGGCACGCGTGCTGGGTCGGTTGGATCACTGAATCAACGTTGCATTCGCGCGCGCGTGCGCGCGTTCGCGTTGTGCTGTGCCGCCTCTTTGCCTATAACACGCGTGCTTTGCGCGCTCGATTGAGGCGCCCGCGCGATGCGTGGGCCATTTGCACTTTCAAATCGAACACCTATCGCACCAGCTCTGGCGCACGCAACTTATCGACGTCCATAATCAGCGCGCGGGGCCTGCAGCATGGATGCGTGGGCCACGCAACGCAAGTCTCGCTAACGATTGCTTATGAGGACCTGCCTCTGCATCTCTCCACTTTGCTTTGGCCGCTGCAGCTTGATCGCTCTTCGGGAATTGCGCCGCTTGCCTTGTTGCTGCATCTATATACACTGTATCGTGGGGACTAGCTGTGCGGCTATGCATGCATGCAGGTGTAGCATCAGCCCTCGAGATAAGCAGCGTGAGTCAAGAGTGTCGAGTCTTGCGTCTCGAGTCTCGGGTACCGGTGTCAGTAGTAGTCACGAGTGTATCCTGTATCATAGGTCGCTTCTCCACGCTGCCCAAGGTCCACCCTCGACTGCTCACATTCGAACCCGTGCAGACGAACCGCAGCGCTCGCGCACGTACAGAGTACTCCTCGTTGCGACGACGAACCAAAGGCGCGCGGCAAACAGGTAAGCTTGCGTAGGCGGAGAAGGGCGAGCCCGCTTGAACAGGGGGGCAATTCGTATCTCGGGAAATCAGGACCTCGACGTCCCCGACTCGGACTGTAGGTACAGTAGCCCCACACTAGCGCGTTTTTTAGCGCGCGCTTGGCGAAAGCTTTCTGTATCTCTAGCGCAGCATGAATCACGAATGAGCCCGCGGGCGCATGCGATGAGCACTGAGGGCGGTGGGTGAGCGGTCGAGTGTCGTGCGACTTCGCATAATCTTCCAGCACGCAGCAGCAGGCTAGGCAAAGCTACGATAACTGCAAGGGGGCCAAGCGGAGAGAAGCTTTGCCTTGGCTGTACAGTACTACTACTATTGTATCCTCATCGACTCACTCGCAGCCAATGTCACTCACGCACACGACATCCACTTTGCCCCGACATCACCCGCCAGCGTTCGCGCTAGAAGACCACTTAAAGTTTGCCTTTCGGGCGGGCCTTGAAGCGTGTAAGCATCTGACTTTGTTCCGGCGGCCCCACGCAGGTCAAGAAGAGTTTCACCACTTCAGGCATCGTAGCGGGCGGGCGAAGTAGAGAGCCCTCGGCTATTGGCACGCTCCCGAGACCGAACAAGAGAAGAGACCCATCTATGCTGCCCGTGCATTTTCATTTGTGCCTGAGTGCGAACATCGCTCGCCAGCGATCATAGCTGACCACCGAACTAACGACACAGGGCGAGCGACTTGATTCGAGTCCCGCAGTTCAATGCAAGCTCCTCTGGCTCTCGCAATCTCATATCACAGCACTGACCATTGCTAGCCTCGGCCTATTCCCCGAGATTGTCTGGCGCTTTGTCAAATCGACGGGGGTGTTTCCGAAGCAACACATCACCACGCGGTGCTTCAGATTTGGTGAGGGGGTGCCTGACTTTTAGAAAATCCAACATGTGTTGATCAGCGCTTGTGTGTTGGGCAGCGCAAGCTCGAGCGATTGCATTGCCTGGGACTGCTTGCAGCTGGACATGACCGTCTCGTCTTGCATCGATCCGCCGCATCATCGCCGATAAGGTTGGTGAGGTGTGCAAGAACTTCCTTACGCAGAGGCCTTCTCCTTCTCCGCCTCCTCAGCTCTCCTCAGCAACACTGCAGTGCAATTCAAAAGCGCTCTGCTCTCCTCCTCCTCCGCAAAGCCGCACCCAGCCCAGCGTATCTTGAGATCCGGTCCGACGAGGTAGGTGTAGCCGACGTGCTTGTTGTGCAGACCCATCGCATCCCTATCCAGCTCCATGTTCTGACGAGACAAGATGTAGGAGCCGTGCTGCGAGGCTGGCGTCTGTCGGCGCAGGTTGGACAAGAAGAGGGAGACGAGGTACATCTTCAAGGCATTCTCTTGCAGATTCACCTGTGCCCGGCAGGATAGAGATGAGCGCTCAGCGGTCAGCATCCATGCGCAGCGACAAGAGGCGGTAGACTAGATGTAGCTGCACCAAGTCTGGCTAAGCACGTGGCAAGCTTGTTTCGCCCTGCTCCAACACCAGCCCGCTCACCTGCACCAGCTGAAAGCTCGGGTGATTGTCGTAAACTTGCAGAGTCTCGCTGTTGAAGCTCTTGGTGTGTTGTTCGGAAATGGTGCTGCTGATGAGTGAAACGATGGACACTTTGCCCTGCAGCATGTCCGTCGTCGACTTTGTAGACCTGTCTGCCAGACACGTGCCCGATATACTGGGAAAGTAGAGTGAGCGCTGGAGGGAAAAGGTCCAGAAAGGGACGAAAAAAGGCGGGGTCAGTCGCGGAGGAGGAGGCGAAGTTTCAAGGAGCTGATCAGAGGGCGACAGGTCGCTCTTCCAGGGTGCTCTTGCAACGCGTTGCCCATTCTCGATGCCCGTGCGCACGCGCCGTCGTTCCGTTCATTTTTTTTTTTTTCGTGCACTCACATCATGCCTGATCATCGTGCCGGGTGCTCTCCACGTCTTGCCTCCGTGAGACCGAGTGGCATGAAAGTCATTGAAGTAGCCTCTCGTAGCTTCCTTGACACTGTGAAGCGAGTCCACAAGAGCGGGATCCTGGATGAGCGAGCATGTATGAGGGGCCGCTTGGGCGCTGCAGTGCATCGCAGTGCAGTGCACTCCTGTTCGCTTTTGCTGCAGCGAGCACTCTACTCACATGGCTCTCCGCTTGGCCATCCTGCGATCCTGATCCACAAAGCGCTCCCTCTTCTCCTCCCTCGTGAGCGGCACAGTCGAGGGCTTCTTCAGCACGCCCAGCGCAGTAGCTAGAAAGGGCAAAGGCTGCTTATCCGCCTCAGCAGCCTTTCTGCTGACCGAATCGCCAAAGTCTCCTCTTTGCAGCCCAGGCGCAAAGTTCGCCTCGGGTCGCTGACGATCGTGCGGAGTGGCCAAAGGCGCTGCGGGAGGTGGATGGGAGGTAAAGTCGGTAGACTGCGTGGCAGTGCTTTGGGCGATTGGGTCGGATGCGGAAGGGTTTGGGGAAGCGCTGGGTGTTGATGCCGATGCTGAAGCGCCAATCTGAGGGTCATCGTGCCCAGCCTGTATCGGTCCTTTGGGCGCATCGTGCAATCCCATGCCTCTCACCGTGACGCTCCAAGGGCGCAAAGGGCGGTGCAAGGAGGGGTAGGAGGAGGTGGAGGAGGAGGAGGTGGTGGTGGAGGAGCAGGCTGGTAGCGCGCATCTGGATGCTCTCAGCACGCTCCTTGCGCTGCCGAGCAGATTGTTGGCCGCGGACATGATTGTTGATGTAGGGCGGTGGTCAAAGCGGTGGCTCAGAGGCTGTGCCGAGATGAGTGTGTCTGCTGAGATTCGGTGCTGAATGCTGGGCGTGGGAGCAGGCGGATCCGGAACACCCGCCTCGCAGGACTGCAGTCAGACTCACGGTGCTGAAAGGAAGGAAGTGGTGAGAGTTGCATTCCAAGCAAAACTTGCCGCCAGTCTCGAGTCAAGAGGGGCATTCAAATTATTTAGCGCACGCGCGCAGAAAGATCGGAAGAATCGATCAAGTCACGTGGTGCGCATGCTAGCCGCGAGAATCAAATCACAGATAATCACGTGAAATTGCAATTCATAAATCATTTACGCCAGCGAGCTTGCACCAGCCGTCCTGGACCACTTCCCATCTCAAGTCCCTTCACGCTAGGGACGTGGGCATTGCTGAAATGTGCTATCGTGCACAGAATGCAGCTCACTTGACTGTGAAGTGTGTGCATCAGGGGGATTTCACCGCTGCAATGCAGACAGACGACACCTTCATCAGCCTGCTCACATTCGGTACTGCACGCGCTGCACATCCCCCTGGCCGTCGATTGCAATCAGAGCGCCTTGCTTTGCAAAGCGTTTGAGGGACTCTCGCCATATTCAAGGCCCAAGCAAACGCGTGCACACTGCTACGACTCTCATTGGCACGATCCAGTCATGCTTGGGTCACGTTGGGCATTGTACTGACGCTCCACAAGGCGCTTACTGGAGTAGACGAAGCGGGCAAGAGACGAGCGAGGGGCGGGATGGATGGCGGAGAGCGGAAAGCTGCGAAAGCTGTTTAGAAATACAGTCGAAGCCAAACATTAAGATTGTGGGTGTGCTTGCATGTGCGCGTCGCCTGGCCGCACGAGGTTCCAAGGCGGACCAAGTGCTCAGAAGGTGGAGAGTCCAATAGCCAACAGACCAGCGACGAGGAAAGTGGCGTATCGAGAAACATCGGAAGAGAGGTGAGCGGCCGCATCTGAGTTGCCGCCGCTTCCCCCATTGTCGCTGCCATTGTTGCCTCCATTGTTTCCAGTCGGGTTCGTAGAGTTTGCTTCTCCGCCCCTGAATCCAGCGGTCATCATCTCCGTAGACCTATCTTGGGTGAATTGACTGGTGGTGTACAGGAAATGAGCGGGTCCGACGCCGATTCCGCTCGTCACATCGCAAACGCCATCCCCATGAGCACATACATCCAAAACCTTGCCGCTCTTGTCCCAGTAATCGGGAATGGGTGGCAGGTAGGATAGCAGACCGAAGCCCTGCGCCGTAGATTTGCCACCGTCCGTATCAAAGTTGGACTGCAAGTTCTTGTTGTGTCTAGGGTTGCCCACCGTCACCACCGCCACGACGGCCTTGAACGCGTCGCTGTTGTTCGGTATCCTGGTCAGCGCTTCCGTCGTCACTGTCGCTCCTTGACTGTAGCCTAGAAGAGCGAACTTGTGGCCTGGACACTGCTGAAGGGACGTGTTGATCTTGTTGACGACATCTTGTGTACCAGCTTCGCTGAGCTGGGAAATGTCCGCTGCGTACTGCGTGTCGTACTCGACGCCACCCGTAACGTTTGCCAGCGTCTGGCGAATCATGTTGGCGAATGCGATCGATGGCCCTTGTATCTCGCCCGTGCCGCGTGTAGAAATGATGGTGTACGTGCCACAATCTGCTCTGCGGGTCAAAGCTGACGCATGTTCCTGAGGCACGATGTTGGCAGCCGAGACCGAAGAGGCTAGGGGAGCGCAGGATAGCGCCACCCCCGCTGCGGCCGCACCCAGGAGAGAGAGTTTGGACGGCATGATGTTTCGTGAATGTGGCTGTGGAAGCTGGCTGAGTCGTTTGTGGAAAGAAATTGGACTGCTTTGCGAGGACGGTGCTGAAGGCTGCCCTTGTGCACGTTTGTCAGGAGCTCGGCAATTTGGGAGCGACAGTAGATCAAGTCGCACGCAGGGATGAATAGGGGCAATGGAGTGGACGAGGAAATCGAGGCGGTAGGGACAGGGCCTCAGTGCAGACGGTTGGGAGGATGATGGGCAAGATGCCAAAGAAAGTGCACCGGTGTCGGTTGGGCGAGTAGGGTGAATGCGCAGATGAATGAGCGAGTGAGAGAGCGAGGGTCGGACGCACGCAGAAGGGATGTGCAAGCAGACAAGAAAGTTTGGGAGTCGTGGGTGTACCGCAAGGATGGAATCGACTTGTGAAGGCGAATGCGGGGTCTATGATCGAGGTAATGATGCAAGGCCTCAAATTAGTCGGGCTATTTTGTATCTGACGTCTCTTGCGCAGCTTGCGGGGAAGCGAGTGGCTAGCGCTGGCCCAGATTACGGCATGTACTCTTGAGGGTACCGTCGTACTGTAGTCACCGTGCACAAATTTGCATCCGACCGGACCTCGCTCGGCATGCATGCAATCAAAGTCACGCAGTCACGAGTGGGGATTTGGTGGACTGGGGGAGCGGCGCGCGCCCGTCCCCTACCTTTCACTCAAGATTTTCGTGATTCGCATTTTGTCACTCAAGACTGTGACTACTCCTTCATGAAATTTGACATGCGAAAGTAGTGTGAGGCGCGGCAGCATCCAGCAGCTACATACTGCTGGGCCGGCCGTGATCTCAGACACTTGGCAAGTTTGCCGAGCGAAGCGGGTGAGACCTGTCTGTGCCTGTTGAGACTCAGACTGGCTGAGACTTGACGCAGCTGAACCCTGTTGTTGATGGTAGCTATATACTGTAGCTATATAGCTGCTGCTTATTGCTGCAGCATGGCTTGTTGTTGATGCGCGATGAGCTTCCAAGAGAGAATCAGGGTGCATGCGCGCGGGAGCGGAAGAGTGGCAGCACCTCATCAGCAGCGCGACGAGATGCTGCTCTGCTCATAGGCAGCGGAATTTGTTGCGATGCAGCACGCGAACCCTAGAATGAAACACGGAAACAGCACCACTGCATGCTGCCGCTGCTGGTGTGGTGATTGATGTACGCATGCATGTGCTGAAGCACCTGCACTCTGACTCACTCACCCGCGCGCGCGCTCAGCAAGTCAGCTGCATGGGCTCCTCGACGCTGTGTGATGTGAAAGCCGAGACGCGTGAGCGAGACCCGCATCGTCAAGTGCGACCGCAGTGCTGTACCGCCTATATATACAGCTGCAACGCTGATCTCAACGAGTTGCACCGTGCGGGGTTTAATTAGTCTTGAGTGCACGACTTGATTCAAGACTCGCGAGGTTTGACTCAAGACTTTGACTCGAGGACTCTGACTCAGACTCTTGACTGTGCTCCGCCGCCTTTGCCGTGTACTGCAAATCATGATTCACGTGAGTATGCACACTTCTTCTGTGTCACGTGATGAACATGTTCAAGTTCGGCAGAACGCCCGGTACGCGGTAAATGAAATGTGAATGTGAATGGTGATTTGGGATTGACGGCGGCGCGGGCGAAAGAGGCGTCCTAAGCGCGCACGCTCCACCCGGCCCGGCCATGCAGCATGCAAGCGAGCAACTCACACAGGTTTGAGTGGTGACGCTTCTCTTCCACATCTGACCGTCCATTCATTCACGATTCTACTGTACTGTACGGCCGACAGCTTTCCTTGGCGGCATCGATCAACTGGATCAAGCCTTTCGCGGACACACGGGGCGCAATCATCGCTCAAACACCTCATCGTTGACGCAAGCATGACGTTGTCCCTTCGAGCCAGTCTGTCCGCAGGGCAGTGTCAGTTTGGCAGGCAGGGAATTGCCATCAGCACGATCACACCGACGCATCTCGTCTTGCCGGGTCAAGAGCCAAGGCTCGCATGTGCTGTGGGGCGTGCCCAAGCGCGTCCGAGTGCGAGGGCATTCCATGCGAGCAGACTGAACGCGAGTAGAGGCAGAACGGGACTGTACGACTTTCATGTCGAGAATGCGGGCAAGATGGTCCCATTCGCGGGCTACGACATGCCCTTGACGTATGGCGATGTGGGCCAAGGTGAGCCGAGGAGGGGAAGCTGCGGTAGTCGTGCCGCGTTGAAAAAAAATACCACGCTGGCCATTCCTGCGCTACAATCTGACTTCCTTTCCCACATCCCAGTCGCAAGCCACAAGCACGTTCGCAGCGCCGCAGGACTGTTCGACGTTGGTCACATGGTCCAGCATCGGTAAGCTGAATGTCGCTGTCAAGAGGAAGCGACGTCGCACGACTCACTCCGACAGGCTCTGCCCTCCATCTGACAGCTTCTCCGGCGCAGGATCCCTCGCCTTTCTCTCCTCCCTCGTTCCCACCTCCCTCGCCTCTCTGGGAGACTTCAGCAGCACATTGTCCGTCTTGTTGAACGACAATGGAGGCATCATCGACGACACGGTCATCACCAAGCACGCGGAGGATGCCTGGTACGTCGTGACCAATGCTGGGCGCAGACAGGAAGATTTGTCCCTGTTCACGCAAAAGCTGCAAGCGTGGACGGGCGGACAGGTCGAGCACGAGGTGCTGGAAGGCTGGGGTCTAGTAGCTCTGCAAGGTGCGTGAAGCGCGTCGATGCAGAACGCGTCATGCTGCTCACCCGGCCGGCCCCGCTGCGTGCCTGTTAAGGACCGGAGAGCGTCAGCGTGCTTAGCCAGCACACCGATGCGGACCTGAACAGCCTGACGTTTGGACGAAGCGTGCACGCCAAAGTCGCGGGCGCCGAGTGTCACATTGCTCGCGGAGGGTATACGGGGGAAGACGGTTTCGAGGTGAGGCTGCCAGGATACGGTGAGATGCTCATTGGACGCTGAATGTTTGAGTCCACTCTTCAGATCTCCATCCCGCCTGAGCGCACCGTCTTGGTCACCCAAGCGCTTCTGAACACTGCACCGACGCAGCTGGCGGGCTTGGCCGCTCGAGACAGTCTTCGTTTGGAAGCTGGAATGTGTCTGTACGGGCACGATCTGGACGAGAGTGTGAGCCCTATAGAAGGCGCTCTTGCTTGGGTAGTGTGTGAGTGGCAGCGGAAGCGTCTTCTTGAGTGCAGACCTATGATGACAACACTGGGCTCACAGCGATCTGCGTTGCGTCTGCCTGCTCAGCCAAGGATAGAAGAGAGGCTGCAGACTTTCCAGGCGCGGAGCGCATCTTGAAAGAGCTCAAAGAGGGACCACCAAGGCGTAGAGTTGGTCTCGTGATAGAAGGCGCTCCAGCGAGGGGTGAGTGGGCTCGAACGCGGCTTGTACAAAGCGACGCTTCGTCTAACGTGACGGCCATACTGCGCAGAGGGCGCGCCTATCTTTGATGGCGTCGGAGATGTGCCGATTGGTGAGTGAAGTTCATCACGTTCCCCGAGCTCGGTAGTAATGCTTTCCCTTTCCCGCCTCTCAGGCGTCGTCACGTCTGGCATCCCCTCCCCCACGACGGGACAAAACATCGCGATGGCATTGGTGCAGAATGGCCAGCACAAAAAGGGCACAAAATGTGAGTGCAGACGCATCGTGTGCACCTCGTGTTGGCGTGCTGTCGTTCACGCACACATGTCTTAACTGCGACCTACTCCCTCCGACCAGTGCGCGTTGAAGTGAGAAAGAAGCTGAGAGAAGCTGAAGTCGTCAAGATGCCTTGGGTCCCAAATCGCTTCTTCAGAGGGGCTGCTTGAACAGGTCCCGACGCGCGCCAAAAGCGCCAGCACTTAGTCATCATAACCAAGACAAGCCACACAGTACAATAATAGAAAGCGTCGAGCGCAGTCCGAAAAGCAAGGGGTTGACTAGATGACCGCGTGGGATGCGTGCAGAATGAACGGACGAATGCGAAGGATCTACACTTTCGAGCTCAAGCTCAGAATCGCTCGAGCTAGCTCGCACCTCGCGTCTTGATCAAATCAAATGGAATATCTGTAAGCAGCGGCAGCCCAAGCTGAAACACCAAACAGCGAGAGCGCAAATCCTCTAAGCCCTGGCAATCTGGGCAACCTCGTCTTACCATCCGCTGCGTGCTCAGCACGTATGGTCCCCTGTCCCTTGAACGCGCCTTGGACGTGAGCTTCCTTGAAAGCGTACGCTCCTAGCACAAGGAGCGTCAGGGTGCCCGTCAATCTGCACGGTTGACAATCTTGTACGGATCCAGTCGATGCTCTGGCTCCTGATGGCTGCGCCTCGTGCAGTTCTAGCGCTGAATTGATCAGTGGACCGCGCGTGGATGTCTGTGCAAGCGACTCGCCAAGACGAGGGCGGTCGTTGTGATTGTTGCGCAGAGAAAAAGCGAGGAAACGGCAGAGCATGAGCCTGGTCTGGAGCGTGCAAAGGCTGGCTCTCCTTCACGCATCTAGCAAGGCGCACGTCTGTCGTGCCATGCCCACTGCCCAGCCAAAAAATTTCACATGCCATTCAGAGGTTGAACTGCCTTGCATTTCGCTCCCCTCCCCCTCCCCTCCCCTCCTCGCAGAAGTGCACTCTGAGACGGGGTGTGGGGCAGACAAATCGAGGCAATCAGACCTGTCGCACCTTATCGTTGGCCTTGTCCTTGGCCGCCTCTGCGCTCTGTTTCAATTCTCCAAACTTTTGAGAACCTTCCTTTTTGGCCACGCTCAGAGCTTCTCCTGCTCGTTGAGACAATCTCTCCAGAGTGGTGGCGGGTGCTGAGCTAATACCGGATGAGGTACCATCTTGAACCACTCGAACGCCGGGAACTGCGACAGGCGAAAAAGACCTTTGGCAATCCGTGTAGCCTTGACCTGCGCCGAAACCTGTGCCCAGCCAGACGGGGAATGCGCGACCTTGATTGTAAAGTGTCGTTGTTTTGAGGAGGTGCAGGCAATGTCAGCCATTGAGGCTCGCTGGTAGTCAATGTCGCGAGTAGAGTCTGGCTCGGCCAGATGGTCGATGCATGGACTACATCTTGGACCGCGTGACCTCAGCTGCCGTCACTCGCACACCTCGTTCAGTCCACCCCACCCGTCGCCTCACTGCGGCTTTGTCTCTCTGCTCAAGCTTCACCTGGCCGCGCGCGGCCGTGCCTGCAAGAGCTCCTGTATTTGCGCTGCCCTGCCGTGCATCCCAAGCTTCTCACCAGCTACGCATTGTGGAATGACGCCAGCGCAGTACATGCGCCCCAACAAGCTACTTCCTGACCATGCCACTCACGCCTAAAGAGGATCACAGAGGCGACCACGCCTACGCTGAAGCCGATGCCGGTCTTGAGAATGGCATTGCTGAGGCAAAGATCGGTCTGCGAATGCGTGAGGCAGGAGCAGTCAGTAATGGGGTGAAGAGCATACAATTCAAACGTAGATCGCTTTCAGACTGGCAGCCCGCCTCTGCTCCTCTATGGCACGCATGCAGACCTCGACAAGTCGCAGAGACTGACCTTTTGACTGATAATGTCCTCAGAAGGGACGCGAGGAGTGGGTGCGGGTGCTTGGGCGGACATGATCAGAGCTTGCGCTTCGTCTACTGTGGGTCCGCAACGCTGCTGACAGTTGAGTCTGACCAGATTGAGATGGTGTTGGCGAGGTGAGCTGGAAAAGATGTGTTGTAAAGGAGCAAGCACGCTGCTCCTGTTGTTGCGCGATCGACAGCCTCGATCTCCACCGCGAAGAAGCCACAAGCCGTCGTGCACGTCGGTTGTGAGTCGAGTTGCTGGATGCGCGACTCTTGACTCGCACTCGTGACTGACTGCCCGTGCTTGTGCATGGCCCATGCTGAGGAAGAGAGCACAGACCCGACCCGCCAGTCTGAGTAGTCAGGTAGGCCGCTCGCCCGCCCGCCCGCCGGGCCAGCTCGGGCGCGATCCGTCACGCTCCCGTAGTCTGAGTGCGCGTTCGATCGATCGCTCGCTCACTCGCGCGGGCGCGTGCCTCACCGCAAACGGCTAGCTCGTTGTGTCGTCATCTCGCACCTGTATCCACGTCTCTTTGGTAGAATATTCTCGACTAGCCGATACGATGTGCTCAATCCATGTTGGACCGCCCTCGATCTCCGCAAGTCTTGGCAAAGTTCACGCTGACCGCGGCCGCGCCCCTGCTCCCATCTTGCATGCATGCATGCGGTGATGATGCTTTGGGATCTTCAGCACGATTCTCTGGCTGACCTGCCGTGCCGATACGCCTCCCTGCCTATCACTCACGCCTCTCACTCTTGCGCTTGCTGACTCGAGACTCACTTGAGGCACACCGACAGTCCATCATCGCCGCCTATAGCTGCCACGCCTCGCGACTGATTCAAGCCTCATCGACCGACGAGAGATTCGGTAGTGCAGCCCAGCGCAGTCGAGTCCCCTCACTTCTGCCCAGCACCCATAGTCATGCTGCACGCCGACGGAACGAATGGCCGCGAGTGAGCACGTCTGGTTGCCAAGAAGTGACGTTTGCGCGCGCACTTCTGAGCAGTCTTGTCGTCGCCTCACCGCGCAAACACCAGATGAGCAGACCACGGCGCGGACTGCATGATGACCATTCACATTGAGTGATTGGCCTGGAAGGGAGAGAGCATGAGCATTCAGCATCGAGCATCGATGGACCCTGATCAGCCAGCATGTGGAGAGCAGGCAAGCAAGCAAGGCACGAGAGAGTCACGGCGAAGACCATCAGGAACGTCATGTTGCCGCATCACACGATGCGAGAGCGTCTGCATGTTTATCTCTGGAAGCACTGGGCGAGTGTAAGCAATGATTCGGTGTATGAGTAGGCTGCCACGCATACAGTACCAGGCATGCGAGCGGTCTTCGCTGTTGAGGAGAAGCGGGCACGAACCCTGACTCTCTCTCTCTCCCTCTCCGTGTCACCATGCCGTGAGCACGCACCAGCTTGGCAAGGGCTACCACGCAGGCGAATGCGGCTCCTTGGCACAGCCTCAAAAGGGAGCACATCGACGCGGCACTGCTGGCTTTTCCCCTGCCCCCCCCCCCCCTCGCCCACCTCAAGTCACGAGTCCAGCTTCGACACGCCGTCGCTCGTGTGACGTGTTCCATCATCTTCGACCCAGCCTCATCTCATCTACATAAGAGCTTGCCAATCTCCCCCGCGCTCTTGCACACCCTCCACTACCCTCACTCTGCCCTCGCCGCCGTCGACAGCTCGTTGACAGCGACCTCAAAGCATCCTCAGCGCGACTGCCTCGCGCCAATACATCAGCCAACGCATGGACAAGAACGGTGGCAAGGAACATCAAAATGGTCACCCTGCCCTTAGCACTGGGGGAGGTGGCGCTCAACCTCGCTCCTCGCAGCCCTCTCTCGATGGACCACGCGCCGACGATGAGCCAGAACCACCCGATAGTGGCTCACGTCACGATGCACCACAATCAACTCAACCCGCAGGAGCTGTTCTGCCTCAAGGACAGCAAGGCGGCCACCCTCGCAGCAGATCGCTCACCCTTGAATCCAAGATGGGCCTCACCGCCACCAGCTCTGTCGCTTCTTCTCCCGTCGCCACGTTCGTTGTCGGTCACGACAAGCAAGGCCCCATCGACCTTGAAGCCCAGCTCAAGCATCGCGGCGCTGATGACCGTGGCTCAGTTGCCTCCTCGACAGCCACGCCTAGTGTGCTGCAACCGCATACACTAACATTCGACGACTGCCTCGCTCATCTCAAATCCAACCCGACCACTGGTCTTTCGAGCGCTGATGCAACAGACCGGCTGGCTCGCGACGGTCCAAACACAATTCGCGAAGCCAAAGGTGTCTCGGTGCTCGATATCTTGATCCGCCAAGTGGCAAATGCTCTCACCATCATCTTGCTCGCCGCCATGGCGCTGTCCTTTGGTGTCAGAGACTGGGTAGAAGGTGCAGTCGTCGCCGCCGTCATCCTGATCAACACGCTGATCGGCTTCATCCAAGAGTACAAGGCGGAGAAGACGATGGCGTCTCTTCGCTCGCTGAGCGCCCCAACCGCTCAAGTACTCCGCGACTCTCGCATCGTAGAGCTGCCCGCGCGCGACCTTGTGCTCGGCGACATCATCGTCTTCGTCACTGGCGATCTGCTTCCTGCTGATGTCCGCCTCATTGAGCCAATGTCCAATCTGGAAATCGACGAGGCATCTCTGACCGGAGAGAGCTTGCCTGTCGCCAAGGTCCTCGATGCGCTGGATGGCAAGGATCTCGGCCCTGCAGACCGCATCAATCTGGGCTACGCCGGTACGGTCGTCACCAAGGGTCGTGGACGAGGTGTCGTAGTGGCCGTCGCTGGTGACACCCAACTCGGCACGATTGCGGCCGCGATGGATTCCAGGGCTGAGCGCAAGGCGGCCAACAGCGCGCTTCCCATTTACAAGCGCGCCTGGATCGTCGTCTCTCGCTTCCTTGGCCTTCGTGATGGAACGCCCCTTCAACGCAAGCTGGCTTGGTTCGCCCTGGTCCTCTTGGCCCTGGCCATCCTCTGCATCATCATCGTATTCGCCGTGGCCACTTTCGACCTCAACGATCAAGTCATTCTGTACGCTGTCGCGCTCGCCATTGGCGTTTTGCCAGAAAGCTTGTTGGCCGTGCTCGCCATCACTTTTGCCGCTGGTGCCAAGCGCATGGCCCAAGGCGGTGTCATTGTCCGTCGCCTCGAGGCGCTCGAAGCTCTTGGTGGTGTGGACTGCGTCTGCTCGGACAAGACCGGAACCCTGACCCTTGGCTCGATGGTGGTCCGAGAACTCTGGGCGCTCAGCTCGATCTCAGGCACAAGCTTCTCCATTGATCACACCGGCGCTACTGCTCTGGAACCTGTCGGAAGCATCCATCGCTTGTCTTTGCCAGACGCGGTCGAAAAAGCGGACACGTCCAACATCGCTCTCGACGGTACACCGACCGAAGTCTCCACCCTGGTTCTCGCTGCAAGTCTCTGCAACATCGCTGAGATTCACCAAGCCTCAGACGGCAAATGGACAGGCCGAGGAGATCCCACGGAACTCGCTCTGCAGGTGCTCGCTCACAAGCTTGCGACCGGTCGCCCATCGCTCACGGAGGGCGACTCGCCTGCCTATACACTGGAACAAGAACATCCTTTCGACTCTTCCACCAAGAGAATGACATCCATGTACAGCCTGGCTTCTGATGCTGCGAGCTACACGCTCTTCATGAAGGGTGGCGTAGACCAAGTTCTCGACACTTGCACCGGTATTCGGCTCGACGAGCACGGCAGCATCGTCGCTCTTGACGAGAAGAAGCGTGCACTGATCAACCATAACATGGAAAAGATGGCAGCGCAAGGTCTTCGAGTGCTCGCCTTTGCCCAGCGCAAAGTCACCAAAGAGCAAGTTTCGCGCGCCGATCCAGAAAAGCAAAGCTTGGAAGCTCGACGCGAGCTCATGTCGCGCAAAGAAGCGGAGCAAGACTTTACCTTTGTCGGGCTCGCAGCTCTCTACGATCCACCTCGGCCCGAGACCGCCGATGCTGTGGCTGTTTGCCACCAAGCTGGCGTAATGGTCATTTGCGCGACCGGTGACCACCCTGCTACAGCAAAAGCGATTGCGCTTTCCGTCGGCATCCTCAAGCCTGATGCCCCCGCCAGCGCGGTCATGACGGCTGCTCAATTCGACAAGCTAGACGACGCCACCATCGATGCTCTGCCCTCGTTGCCGCTGGTCGTGGCTCGCTGCACTCCTGCAACCAAGGTGAGGATCATCAACGCCGCGCGCCGTCGCGGTCTTCGGATGGCCATGACGGGAGATGGAGTCAACGATGCTCCAGCTTTAACACAAGCCGACGTTGGCGTGGCCATGGGATCTGGAACGGACATTGCAAAGGATAGCGCCGAGCTCATCATCACCGACGATAACTTTGCGAGTCTCACGACGGGCATCAAGCAGGGACGAACCGTGTTCAAATCCATTCAAAAGTTCATGATCGCCTTGCTCTGCCTCAACGTTGCAGAGACGCTCCTGCTGCTCATCGGTCTGGCACTGCGAGACGATTCTCCCGAACCAGAAAGCATCTTCCCGCTCTCGCCCTTGTCCATCCTTTTGCTGAACCTCATCGTCGGACTTCCCGCCATCGGACTGGGCTTTGAACACCCTGAAGCGGACACGATGCGCCGACCTCCTCAAAAGACTGGCGTGTTTAGTCGTCAGGTGCTCGTCGACCTCTTCGTGTATGGCACAGTCATGGGACTATTGGATCTGGCCGTCTTTTTCACCATGATTTACGGTTTCGGACAAGGACAATTGGGCATCCACTGCAACGAGACACCAAGCGACATTTGCGACGGTGTATTCGAAGCGCGCTCGGCCACCTTTACCACGCTCTTCCTTCAATCCCTGCTCATTGCGTGGGAGCTGCTGAGCGTGGAAAGAAGCCTGTTCGAACGAGGCACTCTTCAACGACTCAAGTCTAATCCCTTCCTGACCTGGACGGTGATTGGAGCAGCGGTCATCGCTCTGCCCATCTGTCTATACGTGCCTGGTTGGAACGACATCTTGAAGCAAGCACCCATGGGCAGAGGCTGGGCTGCCACCGTCGTAGGTGTCGTCCTGTTTCTGCTCTTTGTCGATCTATGGAAATGGACTGCTAGACGTGGAGCTTGGCCTTGGCTCACACGCATCACTGGAGGTGATTTGGACTTTAAGAGGAAATTGTCCGATCTGCCCGATGCCGATGATGCCCTGTCCGACAGGTCCATCGTTTGAACTTTACGCGCGAGTCGAAGGTGATCTTTTGTGGTCCCCCCTCCTGCTCGTCTACCTCGCCTTTCTATCTGCACTCCTCTCGACTTCAACTGTCGCCTTTCTTCACGCACGTACACCAAACGCACGCACACACACACACACCCCACCTTGCGTAAACCTTGCCCTATGCATCAATCATCATGATCTTTTCCCAAAACGAGATGCAAGTCGCGCGTGATCCTCTCATAGGTATCCTACCAGCCGTAAGAGAGAGCCGATCGACGGACGGACGCCCTGGCGTATCGCCCGCCCCGTCTCGCACGCTCCACGCAAACGCAAAACGCAGCACGTCGAAGCGATGCTCATTAGAGAATTCGGGTAAGGATGACTTTTTTGCCAAAAAAAAAAAAGCAAGTGGGAAAGGAGAGGGGGGGGGGGGGGTGACTTGGACTTGGACTGACTCGGCGGTGACGTCGAAAGGGGTAAATCGGGTGACTTGGAAACGGTGCAAAGCGGGGGCGAGGCATTGCGCTTGCACATTGTGTGTGGGGGTTTGCGCGCGGGAATCATCTTTTGAGGAAGAGAGAGAGAGAGAGAGAAAGAGAGAGAGAGAGAGAGGGAAACAAACGGGCCAAGGCCTTACTCGTCCTCTGTCTGAACGCTGCTCACGTTGGACGGTGCAGCCTTCTTGTGGGTCTTGTAACCTTCGCATAGTCTGCGCCTCGTTGAGCTAGTCAAAGCTCTAGTGTTGAATCGTACCCTCTGACTCTGACCCGATTCGTCGCGCACTTGACGGATCATGAGACCCAAAATGTCCACTTCATCCCCAGCATGATGCATCTCGCTCGTGTATTGTTCGAGAATGCTCGAGTCGGAGTAGGAAGGTCGAAGAGAGTTCATCTGACCCATGATGGGACTGGTAGAGACGTCAAACATGATTGGTCCATCTTGTCCATCCTCCTCAGAAAGCGGGTTTCGATCATTTGGCGCTCCAATTGGTCCATGCAAGCTCGCTCGACCCATCATGACCTCGCTGTCAGGTTTGTGTGCGTCGTGGCCCACGTCAATTGGCACTAATGGCAGTGGCTTGAGAGAAGATGGGGGCGACTGCGCGTTGAGCGATTCGCTCGAGATCCAAGCAGAACCCTCCCCTTCGTTGCGCAGGAGGCCAAACGGATGACGCATGTGAAAAGCTGTGCTGCTAATCTCGGATTGCACACACGAGTCGAGCGAATCAGACCTCGAACGAGCCGATTGGCGAGGTTCTTCCTGCGATACCGAGCGCAAGTGGCCCCTGTCTTGATCTGCCACACTGACCACGTCAACGACCGAATTGTTGGCTGATCTAAACGGCAGACCAGCTTGAGAAGCTGCAAACGCGTACCTGCTCAAGCGCCTTTCTCTGAGGGTCAGGGATGTGTGGTCGTCCGGTTTGTTGTAGCGAATGCCGACCGACCCCATGCTAGAGGAGCTGTTGGTACCAGTGCCGGCGTGCGATGGCCTCCAGGTGCGAGACTGAGAGGATGACCGGGGCGCCGTTGTGGGCGTCTGATTTGCGCTACGCACGAGCAGAAGTGGCTTCAAGGAATTGCTTTGGGACGTCGAGCCTCTCGATGAGATGGTGTTGCCTCCGAATTGGAAATCGCGCAGGCGATCGCCGCGCAGAGCTTGTGCGTATTCGAGCTCCTTCTCCATGTGCTCAGCTACCACAGGTGTCGGCTTGAGATTCTCACAAAGCTCTTCATCATCGAGCGTCTCGGATGGGAAAGCCGGCGCATCTTTAACCTTGACGTACTTGCCATCGTTGTCGAGCTTCTCCGAGCCGATACCGAGCGCAATGAGGAGGCCCTCGGTTCGCTTAGCTTGAAAAGAGGCTTTTGACAGGGTGGAGTCGAGCGAAGATGTCGATAGCGAGGCGGAGGAGCTGGTATAGACCAGAGGCGGCACGAGTAGGTCCACTTCGATCGTTGATGCATCGATGATAGGCGTAGGCGGCAAGGGTCGATCATAGGAAGCGAGGCTTCTCAAGGATGCCGCAGGCGAAGACTGTTTAGACGCGGCCTTTGGAGCGTTGGCAGGTCTGCGCGCGACCTTTGCGGCCAGCTGTTGTTGTCCTGCGGAGAGTTTGCGCCTGAGGCTCGGCTGACGGCCCGCATGAGCAACCTGCTGTGCAGGCTTCTGTTTACCGAGAGTCATGCGGCTGGGTGCAGGCGTAAGCTTCAGATCCCCCTCATCATCGCCAGACCAATTCTTCAAGAGACCAGCGCCCACGGTGGCAGCTCCCAACCTCGTCGGCGATCTTGCCAGAGGAGTGCAGAGCATGGCAGATGTGGGAGTGCCAAAGGTGCGTGGCTGACCTTGCGAGATGCTTTGTACGGCAGGCGTGCGATGTTGAAGATGCGCCTTGGGGCGGCGTTTGGGGTCAAACGCGAGTCTCAGAGGAGCTGGCATCTTGGAACGAGGCGCTTCGACGACTTGCAGAGTGCTGGGGTAGATCCTCGAGTGTCTCTGCTGATTGCGATTCGATGGCGACGGACGCGAGACGATGCCGTCTGCAGAGCTCGGAGTAGAGAAAGCTAGAGGTGCCGCGTGCGTGCTGAACGAAGAGGGTGTCTGAATTGGTGATAACCAAGGGTCGATAGGACTGGGCGGACGATCGAGCATGTCCGAAAATGGCGCTGGCGAGCCAGAGTCGCGCTGACCGTCTACGCGCGGGGTTGCTGGCAAAGGAGCCGAGGGAGGCGGAGCTACGAGGCGAAGCTTGTCCGAACGTTTCTCGATCGTCTTGATGGCGGCGGAAGCGGGTTGCAGTGCAGGAGATTTGGTTTGTGGACTCGATCTGACCAACGTTGAAGCAAACGTCGGTGGTGGTGTACTTGATGTTTCTGCTCGAGACGACGCCAATGCTCTTTTTAGATCGCGAATGGAGACGGGAGTCGATGGTTGAGCAGAGGGTGATGCGTTGGCAGCGTTGGTCTTTTGTTGAAGTGAGGTAGATGTGGTGCGGCCATGTTGCGTGCAAGGTGCAGTCTTGGGCGCGCTGTTCGGGGTCATGGGTACGCTCACCATGTCGTCATCGTCTATCGAAGCTCTGGCAGTTTTCGGCGTTGCGTTTCGAGAATGACGCCTCTTGTGGCCGACGTTGAAGGACAAGCTGAGGCTCTTGCTCTTTCTTCGCGGTGAAGATGCGTCGCCGGATGTGGTGTCCGCTTGACGAAAGAACCTTCCGGCCGAGCGCAGCGCATCAAAGGGAGAGCTGCTGCCATCGTGCGAATCGTAGCGCGTATCTCTAAAGGTGATCTCTTGGACCTCTTCCACTCCCTCCTCGTCGGAGCTGTCATCGAAGCCAGATTTGGCAGGCAGACGAGCTTGTCGTGGCACAGTGTCCAAAGCCAATTGAAGGGCGGGTGGAATCGCGGCGCGCTTGATTTGCGGTCCGACTGAGCGCCGTGATGCTTTCACAGCAGCCGTGCGAGGTGTGTGGCTACGCGACGAAAGAGCTTGGAGCGTCAACCTTCTTGACCTGACCGAGTCTCCTTACAGCCAACACAGCGCGGTCGTGCTCACCTCTTGGGACTGACCAACGACTCGCCAGCGCGCGATGCAGCGTCTGCACTTCCGTCACTTTCCAGATCAGTGCTGTAGAAGGACCAATTGTTCATACTTGCTCGCGCGCGGGCACTCAACGGCGAAAAGGGATTCTCGATGAACGTCGAAGCATCCGACGGCAATTTGAGCGCAGTCGAGACGCTTTCATTTGCCACACCATCGCTTGTTCGGCGAGAAAACTTTTTGGTTGCGCCGGCGCCAGAGTGAAATGTCGGCGCTGGTGGTGTCCAGCCAGTCAGCGCTTTAGACTGCACGGGCTTTGGCTTGCCGACTTTGAAATCTGCTGCAGACGAGTGAGGTGTGTGCGAGGTGAGCCTCATGGTGAGGACCGTAGGTGGGGTGTGTGGGCGAGATGGGACAATGTGGTGCTTGCTGGCTGGCTCGCTGGCTGGCTGCTCAAGTCGTTTGGCGGTTCGAGCGTGATGCTCTCGCTTCAAGCGAAAGTGAGTGCGATGTGCGAGGGGTGCAGCGTCCTTGATGCGTGTGCCGGCAGAGACGCAACTTGCTGGGCCATTCAATCGAGAGCGCAAACTTGTTGTGGCGACTTGACCAGCGTCGTCGTAGGCGCCTCTGAAAAGTATGGTCCTGTATATATACGTGCGAGGCAGCCTTTGGTGACGTGTACCTCCCCTACCAAGATCGCCGCCCATCGTTCGATCCATTGTCCCACGAAGCCGGCGCAGCGGTGCATCTACACAAGCACAGCGGCAGGGTCTCCCCATTTTCATTGCTGACGGTGAAATTAACCGCACTGCTGCGAAAGGACATTGACGATGGTCGATGTCGTTGGTCGGGCGCGTGGCCAGAGATTGGACCTGTGTGGATGCAGCATCGTCGACGATCATACCTTGCACGCATCATCAAGCCGTCTTGTCCTTTTGCCCCGCGCTCCATGACAATTCAGCAGCAAGTTCCAGCGCTAGCTGATGCGAATGGTAGAAAGGGAAGCTCGAGGATTTGCGCGGTGCGACGCGAGCTTCTCGATCGCGTCCGTGCGCGACTTCCAAGCGCATCCGCCCATGATGTGCGATGAGTAAGGACAAAGGAAACTTCTTGTCGCGCTTCCCGCGCGTGCGCGGGGGAAGAAAAGCCACACGCGGCGGCGGCGGCAGCGGTGCATGCATGCACATATGCGCTGCAGTGACGACTGATTCTGCCGTCCCTTTTCCATCCGTGCGCAGTCAAGATCGAGTCTTGACGAGTGGCTGCTGGCTGCATGGCTGCTTTGGATCGTCCCGTTTGCTACGAGATATTGGATTCAACGTGAACTTTTCAACAAGACAAAGGGCTCCCGACACCTCACTCACACTCTTTAGTCCGGCTGGGCAGCGCCTCCTACGCCGGTGCGAACACTTGCGACATTTCCGCACTGGCGCAAAGCCGCGCGCATTTCACTTTGGATCGTCCCGTTTGCTACGAGATATTGGATTCAACGTGAACTTTTCAACAAGACAAAGGGCTCCCGACACCTCACTCACACTCTTTAGTCCGGCTGGGCAGCGCCTCCTACGCCGGTGCGAACACTTGCGACATTTCCGCACTGGCGCAAAGCCGCGCGCATTTCTGTCCCTTTGCTAGCCCCCTTGTCCTCCCGCTTGCGTGTTGCTTGTAGCCAGTCACGAGTGCATTTGCCGCACCGACGACATGCGACTCACTGCTGTAGCCCCCAGATTTGAGCGGATGCAGTCCCAGAGCAGAGTCGAGTTTGATCGAAGCCGCGCTCGGGTCTGCTTCACATTTGGTGCCGGACAACAGCGCCGACAGTCTTGAGTCAACATGTAGACATGTGCTAGGAAAGCACGTGACTTGTGTCTGCCGCGCAAGCGTCCACGCTTTCGCACGTCGGATGCTTACGGCGCGCATCCTCTTGATCCCCCCAGTCCGCCATGCTCCCGCCGACGCCATTCACCTAGCATTCCCTGAGATCCGAGGTGACACATTCTTGGGACATACCCGCTATGCGCACTCTTCTCGCGCTGCGACAGAAAGCAAAACCAGCCCCAACGAGCGAGTTTCGCTAGATGGTGGGCGCTTCGTGCGATTCGTAAAGTTTCCTTCCTGGCGCCGATTTCGGTGAGCCACGCTTTCCCTCGGCAAGAATCCATCCGGCCTCGTGGTGTGGGGGAGAGGCTCGGGAATTTGTGTGCAAGTGGGGCGTGGCGGAAGTGCGACAAAGAGGCAACGGGAAAGGTCCCAAGTCCGACTTGACTGTGAGATCAGTCTTGAGTGAGAGTAGAGTGCGTCATGATTACGAAGGAGCTGCGCAGCGTGTCTGCGCCTCGTTCATGAAATGTTTGAATCGCCTCAATCCTTCTATACATTAATCCTTTATTTCCTCCTTTCGCGACTCGTCCCATCCAAGAAAGGAAATCGTAGGCACAAGTATAGCGTCTGCGCATCTTCTCATCTAATTGGTAGCAGCGACCTCGAATGCAAATTTCTAGAGCTGGGCATGAATGATGGTTCTTTGTCAACGACTTTACCGCCAAAGAATCACGATCTTTGTTCCCTATTCGCGGACTTGTAGGTCGACATGGTGATGAAAGTGATGACGATTGCGTTGCGGACGGATGATGTGAAAGTCGAGCTGAGATGCGATCAGACGATCCAACCTCGCGCGTCGGTTTTTCAATCAAATGTGAATGGCGCAGCTCCGTCCTTTGAATCCTTGGCCACGTTGAGATTCGTGATCGCGAATTTTGAATGTTGATCGAGGGATCGAGATTATAGCAGCAGTGACGTAATTGCGAAAAGGTCATCAATCCATGTTGCATCGCGCAACGCTATGCGTCTGGAGCGCCCGCCTGCGCGCGAGGAAATGAAGTCACAGTGTGGACGCGGAACGAAGGAGTGAATCGTGAATGCACTTGAGTGGATGATGGATCAATCAACCGAAAACGAGAAACGCTTTCATCAGAATGCAAGCTCATGCCTGCCGGTGCCGATGAGAAGCTCACCCGCCGCTAGTTGTGTGAATTAGCCAGCCACGCATGTGGAGGCAGGCGCGTTCGCAAATCCCCATGCAAGACATCAATCACGTTCGCGGTGCATCCGCGAAATCGCGGCACGCCGGCGTGCAACGATGAACGATCAGACTGTATCCGCTTGCACCATCGTTCCTTTCACATCAAGCCCATTCCTCGCCCGGTCTAGTCGATCCGTCAACACGATGGTGGATGCGGCTTCCACAACCAAGCTTGCTGCCGAGCAGCAGCAGCAGCAGCAGCAGCAGCAGACATCCCTAAGTAGAGCTTCAACGAGCCAAACGATGTTGAGGTTGATGAGGGACAACGAAGCAGCGTTGAAAGCCTTGCTGGTGCACAGCGGCAAAGTGTTGCGAATCAGATCGGACACGTCGATGAGCTTGCAGAACAGCACACAGGTGCAATCATCAGCTCCGCTCGAAGCGATGATCGTCGATTCCCAAAATGCAATGTTTGGAGAGGAGCAAGCGGAAGCAAAGACTGCCGCCTCCCGCTCCACGCATACGGTGATGGAGGAGCTCTTGAAGAGCGTCAAGGAGGATGTCGCTTCGACGCCTGGAATGGTAGAGGTGCTACACAATGCAGAATCGCTGAGCAGAGGCTGCAATGCTCTTGCTGCGTGGCTGGTGAGTGGCTCGCTGGAGCGCGCATCTATAGTTGGGGGCGATTACGCGAACGGTCAGCTGGCTGAATCAAACAAGGTCAAGCCCATGTTTGGTTTGCATTTCGCATGCCGACCAATGGCTCTCGCCCTCTTCGTCTCTCTTTCGCATACTCGCTCACACCTTTTCCGCATTCCCCAAAAGTCGTATGCCCAGACCTTGCTGCTCTCCGAGCTAGCTCGAGCGCAGGTAAGAGAAGCGCAAGAGGCGCTCGAACAGGCAAGAGCGGCTGAAGCAGCTCGACTGGAGCAAGTTGCAGCGGCTGAGCAAGCCGCAAAAGAAGTAGCAGAAGAGAGGGAGCGAACAGAAAAAGAGGCAGCGGACAAGATGGCGAAAGATGCGAGTACAGCAGCTGCTGCAGGAGACACCGTGGCTATCGAGTCACGCAAAGGAGATTCTGCCACTGAAACGCACAACGACGATGAGGACGACGACGATGATGTTCCCCTAGCAGCAGCGAGTAAAGCCCCTGTGACAGGAGCTACAAGAGCACCGACGATCGACATGAACGCCGAGCAGCCCATCGATCTCACTATGAGCCCGTCAGGGTCGCCAGAGATCTCGAAAGCGGAAGCCAGCTCCACCGCCAATGTACCACCGATATCATCAGCAGTAGCGTCGAGCGGCACGGATCCTGCTTCCCTCCTGGCGTCTCTGACAGGCATAGCTGCAAATCCAGCTTTCGCTTCGTTGTCGGAGACGGCCAACTCGTCAGGTTCAAGCACATCGCTGCCTCTGCCCACTTCAGACGCGAACGAAGCAAGCTCAGACTTTAATCTGTGGGACATGGACCTTTCCAGCTTGGATATGACTCAATTGTCAAGACTGGCAGCAGGGCCCACCGCAAAGGAATTGACCGGTGCAAACGAATCGGGATTGGACCTGTCCAAGCTCGACGCTCCCACCGATCCGGCCAACAAGGACAATCTGCCACCGGACACGACCGCTGCAGGTGGAGACGCGAGCGTAAGCAACGCCATCTCTACAGACTTCTCCTTTTTGGGCAATATAGCTCCCGACTCGGCTGGATCCATGGGCGCTTTCGAGAATGGTAGTCTTGACATGGGTGATGGTACGGGGATGGGCATGGACCTCAGCAACCTTGACTTTGACTTTGGAGAGTTTCAAAAGCAGTTTGATAGCACCAATGAAGGCGGTGCGGAGGATGGAGGCTAGCTGGTGGCCACAGCAGCAGGGCAATGGACAGGTCCCGTCATTCTCGTGCATCAACCTGCTTACGGTACTGGAAGGACCGTTCCCAGGTACGTACCCCGCCTCATCAATGTCAAGCTACAACGATCCAATCTGCTCATTCGCTTCGTGTGTACGCCTTCACATCATTGCCAATCGTTTCGAATACAGACGCGCGAATCACATCATTTTACTCAAAGTCGAGGAGGGCAGGCAAAGTGGGGTGGCGTTGCTTGCGACAGCAAGCAACGCGCCTCAATCCTTGTTCGTGTGCCTGAAAGCCAAATCAAACTCGCTCTTTACCAGGCCAATCTCGGGGCAGAACAAGACGCAGCCGAACAGACCACCCACCGTCAGCCCAGCGCCCAGCTTTGTCGCCTTGGGGTGACGGTCATAGAAGCGGAGCGCTCCGTTGACTGTTCGGTTCTTGAGACGCACCAATCGGCCTCTCCATGTTCTAGGACTGCCCGGTGGTTCACCTGCAGCAGTCTGCCTAGCTCCTCGCGCTTCGGAAAGCTCTGCCGTGGCAGTCGGATGGGAGTCCATCGTGTGACTATGCCCCGCAGCTTGGTGATCCAGATGGAAGCTTCGTACAGCGCCAGTACTGCTCAAGGACGATAAGCGTGTGGACACCTCCATCGGCAGGTTCTCGAATCGTTGGGGCGAGATTAGGCCATGCAAAGTGGCACGGGCACGCGATGCTGCTGCTGCTAGATCACCATGTGAGGAAGCTGGCGGCGGACTCGATGGTGTGTGGTCGCTGGTGCTGCGGTGGAGCTCGCTGCGCTTCCAAAATCTTTCAGTAGGCTGACGTCTTGCACTCGATGTACGTTGGAGGGCCTGCTCCAGCGGTTCATAATGCCCAGGGACTGTGGACAAGAAATGTCGTTGGCCTAGCGGTACATCGACGTCTCTCCCAAAAAGCGTATTAGGTGGAGTCCCATCACTGTCTGTACGGTCGTAAAGAGCAGCTGTGCGGCCTTCCGTGTCTCGCCTAACGTGATGCTCAGTGTGGTTCTGCTTTCTGGGCGGTGTATCGGTATGCTTCAGGTCGCAGCCGGCAAGCTCGCAGGCCATGAGAAAGGTTGCCGCAATAGGCGCAGCGGTCCCAAAGATGGGATGCTTCTTCCAGTAGGCATGTATGGCCTTTGCGACAGTGACAAAGGGTCGAGCTGCCGACTTGCCCGCCTTGACAGCTTTCGCAGTCCTAGTGACATCGGCTTTTGGCAGGTTGTGAACGACATCGCCATTGCTGGGACCCGCTTCTACTGATCGTCGCACAATCTCGCCAATCACGGCAGTCGAAAGCTCACTTCTGCGTGCGTGCCGTAGGTGCTTGACCTGAGCCGGAGTCGGAGGTGGAGCCGGCAGCGGGGACAGGGCAGGATCGGGTTTGCCGTGCTTGAAATCGCAATCAAAGGCGCCGCATCCCAGGAATATGCCAAAGGGCAAAAAGGTGGCAGTCATGAGGAATGGATAGTTTTTGAAGCCGCCTGCGAGACCTTTGGCGCTGTTTCGCATCATCTTTGCCGAGTACTGCATCATGTCGTGCGGAGCGTTGTGGACCTTTCTCACCGCCCCTACAGCCTTGGCTCCAATCGTGGAAGCAGCTCGCTTCTTCTCCACCTTTTCCGCGCTAGACGTTGCGACAAGGCGTTCGACTTGTTCCTCAGCACCGTCACGGGGCTTAATGTGAGGGAGCCAGTCGGGATTGTAAGGCTGCCGTCTTGACGTGTTCACCGAACGCGTACTCGTGCGACGCCCCTCTGCGAGAGCACGTCGCAAATTTCTGGAGAGCAGCGTGTCTGCACTGTGCTCGAGCTCGACCCGCCCACGTTGGACATTGCCATTCGCCTGAGTGTCTTTTGTTCTGAGCGTGGGCGCACTCTGGGCTGTGCCAAAGAGAAGGATGACAGCGACCAAGGCTTGGCCAAGCATTTTGCCTGCAATGATCGCTGGCCAGAGGGAAGAGGGGACGCTAGTAGGTTGCTCCTTTGAATGTCTGCCCTCTCAAATTAGCGTCAGCCGTGAACAAGAAACGGAATGGGCCACACGAGGGCCGACGGAAGGACTTGGTGATGCGCCTTTGTACGCTTGGACGAGAGCCGGCTCAACATCGTGAGAGGCGCACAGAGACGGGCCATGATCTTCACTTTCGCCACCAAAGGGCTACATCGCTTTGCAGCTTATCAGGTCCGCTTCGACTTCCTTGCTGGCGTGTCTTGTTGGTGTCGAGCACCATCAACAAGCTGCGTGCTTATAGTGTGGTGTATCATTTGCCACCATGACAGGAGAGCCGCTGTGCGTGTCCTCGTGTTCCCAACTGTATCCTTAGCAGTACGGTATGCCTTGTGACATTAGGGCGTTCGGCCATCGCGCGTGACGTGATTCTCGTGAGGCATTCGTTCATCGCTGTCAATCAGCGCAGCCATCGACTGCCACTACACCGGTCGCTGCTACATACTCCGGAGAGCTGTGCCGATCAGAGAGCGCCCGCACACCAAAGTTCGCGTTTCTAGCGCTCTTCATCACGGGACGCTTTTGGATACGCAGCTCTGCAATCACCAGCGCCAATCTAGCTGCTGCAATCGATCCTTTGCTAGCTGGTGTGCATCGCCTGACAAGAACCACCAGCGGAGGAGAAGGGCAAGAGCGCAGCTGTAAGCGTTGCGAGCTCATCCACAGAGATTGTGCGATGAGCGAATGACCGCGGCAGTACATCACGTCTACCTCTTCGGGCATTCATAATTGCTTTACGCCATAGCGCCATGGGCCCCGATAGCGTTGCTCGGCGTGCACACCTACAGGGCAAGTGTGCGGCTGAAGATAAGGCTGACGCATCCTTGTCCGTTCTTTTCCTCCAATGTATAGCCCAAGCCGTGTCATCAGGCTACGCGCACTTGGCCCTGTCTGGTGATAGCCTTGGCTGAGCGCGTCAACGGTGACTAGCTGTTCCGTCTCTGCCTGTCCTTCCGGCCGGCAGGCGTGCGTTCACCTTGTCGATGAGGCCGTGCACTTTTGGCTCCTCATCCCTTGTCCGAGCCTGTCCACGTGATGGCAGTCATCTAGCAGCCCAGCATCTCGCCTTGGAGCGCTTCAACATGATCTTTGGGGATGTGAGCCCGCCCTCAACTTGTCTCCTCATCCGTCCCGCCGTACCATTGACTGTTGCAAACCAATCACGGGCTCCTTCTGGCTGCGGCGCCTTCCATGGTGCGCATCCGCCAGATCAGGCACGGCGGGTCAGACTGCAAGTATCAGCCTCGGGTTGGAAAAAGGGCACGGCGTGCATGTTTTTCCGCCTGCCTCGCGATGAGGCGCAACCAGTCTTGCGGGGCTTTACATCCAGCTTTCATGAACCAAGACGGCATGGCGTAGTAGTGGATTGCAAGATGCACTCGTCACCACGCAATTGTGAATGCCTCCACGCCTTTGCCGACGAGACATGTCTGCTGAGCGAACAGCCACAATGGAAACGCTTCATCGTGGCGAAATTCGGGCAAAGGCGTGCTGGCGAAGGGAGGCTAATGCGCATAATCGATCGCTTTCGTGATCGTGAAGTGACGGACGGGCGTAAGCTAGCGCAGCGCGTGATGCAACGGAACGCTCCTCCACTATGCTTCCGCTCACTTTTGGCGACCCCGCTCACGTCGCCGGAACTTTCCTGGTAAATGTGATCCCGTGGCGTAGATCTCAGCCACCCGGCTACTCATCTCAGACGACGAGCCCAAACATGGATGTCGCACGCTTGAGCTCCCCATTGACAGTGACGAGACAATCACGATGGGCATCCAGCTGGTTGTGAATGTCCCTTACGTACACGCGCCACCAGTCCGGCACCGTTTCGAAGACGAGTCGGCAGCAGTGACCAGCAGAGTCTCCTCTGACCTGTGGCGCCTGACGTGCTCGATGTTCGACGTGGACTCGGAGAGAGACTGGCCATGGGCGTACATCAATCTCAAGTCCCGCTGCGAGCTGAAGTGTTGTGGGAATATCAATCCCGTGAACGACCGAGAGCTTGTCGTCGCTCCTCGCCTCCTCTCCTCACAACATCCACCCCTATAGACGGTGCGTCGAGCTCGACCATCATCGCTCCAGTCATTGTGGCCGTGCACAGATTTTGAGGAGGCGTTCGGACAACAACATTGCGACATGAGGACGCTAGCGTGCTCCCTCGTTGCTTGCATCTTCTTTGCCCTTCTCGTTCTATCCCAGGCCGGACCGCTCTCATCAGAAAGTGAGTCAAGTCTGACGATGGAGCCAATCCGTGTCCGTAGTCGTGAGTAAATGAGCCGTGTTTTCGACGGAGCAGTGCGCAGCGCCAACGCTGTTTGGTATGAAGCTACCTCATCAGCTCGCGGCGCCCAGGTCTCGACCCAACGCCGTCCACTGTCGCCCAGCAAGGAGGTGCAGGGCGGCTCAAGCAGCCTAGGCTGGCCTTTGAGATTGGAAAGTCTTCGACTCAAAGGCCTCGAGCGCTTTGAGCTTTATAGCGATGCTAGTTCTACCAGAACATCGTTCAGCGACGGAGAGGAGAGCAGCGTCCCAAAATCGACCAAGGGCATTGTCTGGCAGTCGAAAGAGTCTACACCACCGCTAGAAAGGATCGAGTTCGCCAAGGTGCTGCGGGAGCCTGAAATGGACCCTGCATCTAAATGGCCGGCAAGCAAATGGCGCATCAGCAAGCTACAAGGCTACAAACCCGTGCGTTGTTCACGAGCCCTCGCAGCTCCGGAGCGTGCGATAGCTCACACTGACGTTTGCGGCACCAAAGCAGTGAAAGTATCAATGACTCTTTACATGTAGCATTCGAAATTGCGACATTTACGGGTGTACGAAGTGGATCATCTCATCCTTGAACGCGGCAAGTACGGCCTTCAGTTCCCTGCGTCTCATCTCCTCCCTGTACACTATCTCGTCGATGGTGTGGCGTCCATTCATGTACGGTAAAAGTCTGGGACGAAGGGGAACGTGCCGTGGCGATTTCATGCAGTCAACACGGATGAACCGCCGCGCAGTGAGTGATCGTCTGCTGTACACTCACTTTCGGAACCATTCGACGATCCACTCTTCTTGCTGACGATTCAGCATGCTCTCAATCCATTCGTTCTCCTCGGCACTTGCTCTACCAGGCTCAGGTATGATGCTAGGCATAGGATCACTTTCCCACTGTTCGAAGTCCAGGGAGTGTTGGGACTCGCTTTCTTCGCTCTCGAGACTGTCGTTGGCTTCAGAGCCCCTTGGAGAAGAGCGGTCATAATCTTCCTCGTGCCGTGAAGCCCCTTGATCAGGTGCCAAGGAGTCCAACTGCTCTCGTGAAGTCGCCACAGAAGGCTCGACCGTCAAGGATCCGCCAATATTGCGCTCAAGAGCTGGTGAGCCTCGCGTGGAAGATTCTTCTCCAACTAAGCTCAACCTACGAGCTTCGTCACCAGCTCGATTGAGGTATTGGAACGGGACCTGCAAGGGCCCGCCACCCTTTCCGTTTCCGCCTGATTTCTGCATAGACGCACCGGTCTCTTGCGAGCCGGCTGCATCGTCGATCTGAACCTCTTCATCTTGGCCGAAACCCGTGATACGCATGCGAGCGCGACTTGGTGATCGAGACGCTACGCGCGTAGCATTGTCCACGTTGCCCAGACTCGACGAGCTGTTTGGTGTAAAAGCATCCGAGTGAAGATGTTCCTGACGAATGCTGAGCGCTCGACCTCTGGGTGTGTTTGGACGCGACGTGTTTGCAACCGTCTTCATGGCGGGCACAGCGGACGAGCTTGCTTCGCTGCTGACGCTGAGTTGTGTGCGAACATCATCTCCAACCAAGCCGATCGCTCGCGATGGACTTCTAGAGCGGGGAATGCGTCGTCGCTCGAATCTCAGCTCATCAATATAGCGCGCGGAGGCAGTGGAAGATTCCTTGAGAGCTGAGAAACTCGTCAATGGAGAGAGAGAAGTGGTTCGCGAGCTCTCCACTCGGCTTGAGACCGAGCCTGTTCTACCTTTTGGCTGCACTGTGACGTCTTCTCCCATCGGCTGGGTGCTGTTGGCAGGTTCAGGGTCGGCTTGGACCTCATCGCCTCGATGGTAAGCGTTGCCTCTTGCAAGTACCTGTGCCATCCCACTCTGAGCGGGAGCGCCGCCGATTGGAGCCGCCGCCTTCTGAAAGCTGTTGACACCAGCGAGAAACGTCCCATCGGAAGCTTGAGTGGTTTCGCGAGCCCGTTGGAAGCCATTCTGCTGCCGTTTAGCCGCCCTAGCATGGCGCAACGCAGCTCGTCGTCGCGCTGCATCGCGCTTGATCTCCTCTGTCGCCACCAGCCTCAATCTTGCGTGCATCTGCACGATGACATCGTGTCTCAGCAGCCACACGAGAGCGTCGAAAGCGGTCTGACGCTGGTTGCGGCCAAAGTTGACGGCGAATGGCCTCAGAGAGGCTGAAAAAGTGGAAAGAAATGCGGGCAAGGAAGGTTCGTCGGGGAAAGCGCGGTGCCACGACGTCGACAATCGTGGCAGGCTATGTACCGAGAGTGTCGCAAACCAAACATGAGCAGTGGTACAGGTCAAGCACCATGGATCGAAGGGAGCACCGACTCACCTGCGAAGGTAAAAGAGTGGCGAGATGGCGTACATGCTGTGGATGCGTGGCACGTCCACAACTCGCGCATCGCGGTAGTAGATCAAGTGTCTCACCATCGGAAAGACGTCGTCGTACAGATCCCATGCGAGCAAGTCTGCCAGCTCGCCAAAGCTGAGCATCGAAAAGGCTGAGATATTATCAGCGCTCCGATGCCCCTTTTCTTCGAATCCGTGTGCACGGACTTACGTGGGCACCCCTGCAAGGGTAGGCTTGAGGTACGCGGTGAAGCGCTTCGCCCATCCTTCGATACCGTCGCCCCTCATGACAGGCGAGTCGCTCTCATCATCACTGCTCGCTGGAACCCGACCCAGGCCAGCGGATTCTGACAAAAGCAGAGTCTTCCACGGCAGTAACAGTGGGCCTGTGGCCCTGCTGGCTTCGTCCCACGCGTCACCACTTCCGCCCCACCTGCCACCTGCCCCAGCTGCAAGCAGGTGATCGTTAGGATCCAAACAGGTCTCTACTTCGCGAAGGCGGCTAAGCTTAGCCCCATGAGAGCGTAAAAGAGGGGGGAGTTGAAGATGAGCTTCGATGTTGTCATTAACCGAGACGAAGGCATTTTCTCCTCGGGACAATGACGAGTAGAGCGACCTAAGCAGGCGAGCGAGAGATGACGAACGTAGCGCTGAAGAGACGTAGGAGTTGAAGGTGTCACCTGTGGAGTTTCGCAGGGAAGTTGCGGTCAGCATGACGATGCGACTCGCTCCCATGGACGCGCAGTCTCAATTAAGCAGCTGCACGCCGTCTGGATCAGAGCTCGGGCCCGTAGCGAACGCGAATGCGGGAGTCGGAAAGCCCGGATAGATGAAATGCATTTGGGACTCACCACGATCTCTGCATGTCTCTTTCAAGCTCAACAGGTGCTCGCTCTCGCTTGCTACATAGCCGCATCTGACTTGTTCAGCCCAAAGAGCTGCTGTCAATTTGAAGCAAACGGCGTCGTGAAACATTGCCGACCAAGTTGACGTGTCTAGCTGCGGCATATCTGCAGAAGGATCAGGACGATCTAGCACCAGCACAAGGTGGAAGGCAGTGATGCCGCTTCGATGCTGGCCGCTTGAAACCGCGTAAGAGTTGACTTGAGAGCTCAAAGTGGATGCTGCATCTCTTTCTCGCTTCGAATCCGATGGCAGGCACGACTCGCTGCCAAAGTCCTCTGAAGTTTGAGCGTGCTCCTGAGAGGCTACCTCACGAGCGGCGCCTTCCGCCGCCGGCATCTCCTCCTCAGCGCGAGGCGCACGCCCTCGGGCAGGGCTGTGGGGTTGAGGCGGAGGGTGTCCTGCTGGCCTTTGAATCGCATCGTCCGGCACGTCGCCCCAATTTGCGCTCGCGTCAGCACACACAGGATGACCGACAAAGGCGACATCGTCCACAGTGAGCTCGAAACGAGCATGGCAAGCATCTCTATGCGGTGAGAGCAGCGAGGCGAGGAAGACCTCTTGATAGCCCAAGTAAGTAGTGTACGCCCTTGCTTGGCGCTTGGCTCGCTGGACGGCCCGGTCTTCCGCCCGCTCTCGGGAGCTCGCGGCAGAGGCGGGGGCTAAGACGTCTCTCAGCGGTCCCGACGCTCCCCCATGACCACGAGCGCGGGAGCTGGAACGAGCGGGGCCCTGGCGTGGTGACGAGGATGGTGCAGGTATGGCAGACGAAGAGGGCACCCTTCTTCTGGTCCTGCTATCCCTTGCAGAACCACGTGCAGCAGCACCCAGGCCATCGACGCTGGCACTGTCCGAATCGGCATCCACAGCTGACTCTGCTCCAATACCATCATGCGGCTCTTTTGCTCTCTTGTCGACTGTAGAATTCCCAGCGCCTGTGCTTGAGGTTCTCGAGCGCAGAGATGGCAACCACTCTTCCGAGTCGAAGGATATGTCACCATCGCTGTGGCCTTGACTGTCCATCGCTGAGCTGCTGGCACTAGTGTCGCTAGCGCTTCCAGCTTCCTCTCTCATCGCCTTTTCCCTGGCGTCCTCGCGTTGCTGAGCGGAGCGGGAGTCTTTCGAAGATAGTGTGCCTCTCACATCACCTGCGCCGCTTTGCTTACTTCTCTCTTCGCCTCGGCCTGCCCTGCCTCTGGACGTGCTGCTCGATACCTGTTTCCTCTGAGCGGCAGACTGAGCATCTGGGCGCTGCTGGCGATCCAGCAGATCTCCCGACGCTGGACCAGCATCGTCGTTCGTCCTATAGTATCGAACCTGAGAATGACGTTTCGACAGCGACGGGTTTGGCGGCCAGCGAAAGACGAGGTTCGAGCCTCGGCTGGATTCTACTGTAAGAAGGACAGCAAGGACGAGGGAAGGATTGGCGGGGTGCGAAGGGCTAGTGCGCCTCACCATCCTCGAAGCGCTGGCTTGCTTGCACTGCGATGGTCAGTCCAGAAAGCCAGAATCATGACGATGGCCACGTTCTTTCCGCTGGCGGTGATTGTGATGGGTTCGCTGAGAGTCAAGCTGTGCAGTCTCGACTGATCTCAGTCAACAGTTCAAAGTCGGACTTTCAGGGCACACGCGCGCATCAACCGTTGCACCTCTTGCCTTGACTTGGCAGCCTCTTGAATCACGTGTTTTAGCGCTTTTCGTGCCTTTCTCCCGGTTTGGCGTTCACTTGGCTCTTGATTGCATGGCTCTCGATCGACCCTGTCATGATCCTGCGACCGAGCGCAAAGAGATTCTCAAACACCACGCGTCCTACCGCGCTCGCATCACCCCCAAAAGCATGACTGCCGCCACTCAGCACACTTGAACATTCGTGGTTCGCGATCTACAGACTTCAACTTTCCTGTCTCGGGCACTCGCGCAGCATGGGCAATCATCACACAACGCCGCCTCGCGAGCTTCCGAGGAGCAGTCGTTTCCGCCTAGATCAGCGAAGCGCTGGCGGCAGCTGGCCTAGCTGACGTGCCTTGTTGTTCGAAGGCTGCGACTGACATGGACGCTCATCCGCGGCCAGCCACGTCGTAGGACAAGGCCCTGCGCCGACATCATTGCCTGAGCGGCAATCGTGACTCAAGAATGACCCTTTGATTGAAACCTATCGACTTGCGAATTCGCAATGCCTCGAACTCGCCGCCGTTCGCCCAAAGACCGCTTCTGGACGCAAATGTCGATTTGAATGAACCGCGAATGACTATACAACTCACACCTCGGCTCCTCATTGACGTCTTTTGTATTTCCTACCCAGTCAGAGGAAAGGAACACTTGGAGAGCAGGGCAAACAAAGTCGTGTCGCTTGCACAAGCAGCGCCCCATCATCCCACCGCTTACGAATCAATCAAGTGCCTTCCGCGAAAGACAATACATCCCACACTCGTCAGCTTGGCAAAAGGTCTGGATTCTCTAGTCTCGCAAACCTTGATGCTTGCAATGCCTCGACCATTGATCGAGCGGAATCGACTCAAATGCAAGTGCTCCTCACCACACTACTCGACCACTGGACCGCAATCACTTTGAATGTACACTCAAGATTCGAACTAGAGCGCGTCATTGTAGAGGGCCCCTGCTTTTGCATTGCTCATAACGACTTCACCGAGGACGTCGTTTGTACACCAGACACCAATCAGTGAATGTTCACCCCTTGAAGCTGAGCTTTCACTGGCGCTTACACATCCAACACTGATTATCGCCCCTGAAGCTCTGCTTCCACTGGCGCTCAAGTAGACGCAAAGCCACCTCCACGCTCCAATTACGCCATTCGCATCGAGCACGAGTGTTCTTCCTGAGGATCTTCGCTGCTGCGCTCAAGCGATCGGTCAAGATTTGCGCAGAGACGACATGACGTATGCTGCTAGCCCGGCCTCGCGTGGATCTTGCACGTCTCGGCGCAGCTGCAGCTTTCCTACCTGAAGTGCGAACATGTGTGGCAAATCTTCGGGGTGGATTCAAGACTTGCCTGCACTCAAGGCATCGTCAGCGGCGCATCAATTGCGTCATTTATGGTGAACAGCTCAATTAAGTTTGTGCTTCGTCAGATCACATTCACGATTCGAAATTCGTAATCTTGAATTGATATTCACCATCCACAACTCAACACGCGATTGCCTCGGGTGGAGCTGCTTGAAAACGGCAACTTCTCGTTGCCCGCATCACCAAATGCGCTTAATTGCATTTACGCGCGCCGAACCTCAACACCCACCTGCCTGGGCTGCAAAACGACGAGAAGAGGCAGACTTGCGCAGGTGAGCTTCGAAGCTGATGAACCTGCCATCCGCCGGCGCAGACGCGCTGCGCACTCGGCAAATCCTCCTCAATCCCCCAATCGCGCTTAATTGCAAGCGACCAATGATGGCATCGAGTCAAATGGCAGAGTGATGCAGGCATGCAAGGGGTGAGACCATCTACGAAGAGGACCTACAATCAGACACCAAAATTCTGTCTTGAGGCCTCCTTTCCACATCCACTGGCAACCTAAAGACCACCTGCAAACCTGGCCATTTAGGCCCGCTCGACGAAGCGCAAATGCTGCTCCGACAGTCAAATGAGCTGCGCAGAATTCCGTTGGACACGAGGTGCTCATTGATCCATCAATCTCACCTTGCCAGAGCAACTTTCCGCCTGCGTGCCCCTGAGATCGATGTTTGTCTCCGCCCGCAGATCACGATAGAATGACCAGCATCAAGCCGAGTATCCTTTCAAGAAACGCCTTTCTCTCTGCTGCGCTCGAACAACACGCTCGACAGAAACGCTCAGTGGCAATGAGCACTACTACACTTGGCATCAGCCCTCGGAACCCTGTAGAGAAAATGAAGAGTCAAAGTAAAGCAAGTCAACTTCGGCGAAACATCAACAATAATCTCTTCTGCGACGAATGCATCATCAATCCTCTTGCGCGCTGAGCTGGCAGGCACCACTGTGTCGCAGTCCAACGCAGCGTCGCAGCATCGAGCCGAAAGCAGAGCATGGATTCTTCGGCCTTTTTCAGCAGGGGACGACAAGTAGCATCTAAATACAGCAGACCCTTCGAGGCGATCATAAGCTTTGGCTAAGTAGATGCCGTGCGGCATTGTGAGTTTACAAGGTGCCGCCCAATCAAATAGGGATCAGGCATGATCCTTCACTTTGTCGCAGGGACGTGACTTGATTGGAGTCGTGCAGCCAAGGAGCTTACAGCTCTGCGCATGTTGTCCCTCCGATACAGTTCCCGTCATGCGTATTCTTAGGGCGGATGGATCCCTTCAGCCATCCATTGCTCCCCTTCAACTCCACGCGGCCCTTGTGGAGGATTGTCACCCTTTGATGGATCAGCGCTCGGGATCACACTCACGACTGCTCGCGGACCAAAATCGAATGCACTTGATCGATAATGACGCGATCGGAAGGTGGCTCGGCTGCCGTCGAACTGCATTCAGCGTCGCGCAGACGCAGGAACACGTCGGGCAGAGCGATGCTATCGCACGAGCGCGGAGTTGCAAGCGCTTGCTGTCGTCATTCAGCCCATACTTGCCTGCACATCTGAAGAATCGTCAATCGAGAACGCTGCTTGCTGCGAGGCTCCTAGAGCTGTGACTAGCTTGTGTCGCCTTCGGTAGCTCAGGAATGCCATCAACATGTGCAAGGCTTCCAAGGATGACGTCTATATAACATAACAATGCGCGCGGCGACCAGCAGGAGCAAACTCACATTCATGATTCCTCATTGGCCACTCTGGCTGCGCAAGGCTCCAGGTGCAGGGCAAAGGTTGGCGCACAGATTGGACACGACAGATGCCGTTCCAGCAGTATATACAGTCGCAAGTTCGAGCGGGATGTGCCTGATTGGCCGCTTGGAAAGGAGCAAAGTCTTTGAATCGCGCTTTCGGCTCAAGCCATTCCACATCTGCGCGGCCAACAAAGCTGGCCGGCACCTTTCGCTGCGGACAGGCCATCGTCCACGCTGTATAGCAACGGGTGGGGAGAAGGGAACACACACGGGTGGCAAATATGTGGTGATGACATGCGCTCCAGCACCAAGGTGGCGCTAAACACACTCAGCATCGAGCACAACAACACTCACGACTCTTGAGCATGCTCCATCTGTACGCGCTACCTCCATCGGCGGATGCACGGAGTGAAGAAAAGAGCTCGGCTTGGGGGCCATTCACTCTTGGTGCGTGCATGCTTGCCGCTTCATCGCGCATTAAGATTAAGAAGCCCTCAAGCATCATGCACACAGCGAGTGATCGGCAGGGGAGCGATCATGAATCGTGATTCCTACCAATCAAATGAGACCATCAGACGCCAAACGGGATCAAAGTGGCTCGGAATGTGGGACGCTGCCACGCAACCATCTCGACGCTGTACGTGCTGAATGCGGTCACGAGTATGACCAGCCGCGGGATCAGCTACGCAGTTGCGGGTCGCATATGGTTCGAGGCAGCAGAGGGCGCAGATACAAAGTCAAAGCCCTCGCAGCCCAAGAGCCGCGTTCATTGGTGTTTGGAATGAAGAACGCGGCAGCAGTGTGAAGCGCCCACAACCATTTAAGTGCCACCGAGGCGCAATCTCTCACACAGGCCTCTTCCATCTCCGTGATACGCATCAACTCGAGCTCGCTCCAGCCAGCCAGCGATGCTACTGACGATGACCGTGGAAAGCCTTCGTCATGAAAGTCGTGAGTGGTCTTTGCCTCGAGGCCGCTTTGAGAGCAAACGAAGCTTTAACCTCTTGTTGCGTTTGAAATAAAGGAGAGCTTGAGCGTCGCGTTGCGTCAACCCTTGCGGCTGCCCCTCCTCCGTAAACCAAATCTCTCGTGCACTTCGCCTCCCTCCTACTTCCTCCTTCTCGACACTTGTCTGTTCAGAAACTCCTCTTCATCCACCGTCCTCACCGAATTCCATCCCTGAACCAACTCACCTCACGCGCATCGCTCGTCAGCAATCGTGGCTGCGCATCATCCGCAGTGTCAATACGATCCTTCTGCTCCGGGCGCGTCAAACGATGAGCACGCGCTCGGGTCCAAGTCCTACCGGTCGCTCGGAGCGCAGCGACTCAGTGTCGAGCTCGAAGGAGAAGCCCAAGCTGGGCCGCTTTCGCGCTGCACTTGGTCACCGCGATGCAAGTGTCGACAGCAAGCTCAAAGCCTCGAGCTCCAAGCCCAAAAAGCGCATTCTTCCGCGCTTCAATCTGCCTGAAAGCACGCTCTGTTCTGGTCACATGTGCGCCGACGTCACAGCATCGTTGGCCCTGCAAACAGACCTCGCAACGATTCGTCAAAGACGCATGCAAGCGCGTTTGAAGAACGGAGATGCAACGTCGGAGAGCAGCAATGAGGTCTTGCAGCCTCCGCCAGCGCCGCGAGGTGCTAATGCTTTGAGCGCGGAGCAGTCGAGTCCGAGCAGCCAAGCAAAGAGGAAGGATTCGAAGGTTCGAGATTTGACGCTTGCATCCATGCCCACCGCTTCTCACAGGCCGCACGCGACGCATGGCCACATCGGCAACAAAACTCAGGAGGAAGTCATGAGTCCGCCCTG